GCCTCTTTCCCTCTCTTATGTTGTATGCGGGTCCCCTGCCCTGAAGCTGGTGTAGCACTCAAACCCATAATCCCAGCATTGGACCAAGAATCAATCACAAACTCTAGAGGCCCCCCCATGTCTGCCCGAGGCTTTGGGAGGACTGTAGACACAAATCATAACACCTTCCTTCTCCAGTCTTCCTGACCCTTTCCTCTTCCCTCTTCCTGACCCTTTCCTCTTCCCTCTTCCCTCTTCCCTGCTCTTCTTTTTCATGTACACAGTTCAGCTTGTTGTTGCTTTAATTTATTCCCAAATGGTACAGCCAGTGCTGCTGTCTATCTCCAGGACAATTTCTTCACCCCAGAATGAAACTCTAAGCCCTTTAGCAGTTGTTCTCTGTTCACCCTTCTTGCGTTACTAATCTTCCTGTTTTTAAAATTTCCCTCTTTTAGACATAGCATATATATGTGATCTTTTGTGCTTGGCTTCTTTTACATAGCATGTTTACAAGGTTCATCTATGTAGTACAAATCAGAACTGTTTTTTTTTTTTCTTTTTGGGGGGGGTAATATAGTACTGAGGGTTGAACCTAGGGAAGTTCTAATACTACCAACGTTCTTAGATCTTTTTACTTTTTACTTTGAGAAAGAGTCTTGGTAAATTGTACAATCTGGCCGCAAATTTGAGGTCTCCCTACCTCCACCCTGGAGTACACAGGATGACAGGCATACACCGGCATGCCTGACTTCTTCCCTTATTTGATTGTGTTTTTGGTTCATTTTTTTCTTCTTTCTTTGTTTATTTATTGATGCTAGAGATTGAATTCAGATCTTGAGCGTGCTAGTTAAGCGTTCCACCATTAAGCTATATCCCCTTTCCCTGGCTTTTTTTGGCTGAATAATACTGCCATGTACAAATACACCAGGTTCCCTCACACAGGTCTGCCCACTAAGGAGTAAAAAAGTGGCATGCACCGTATGCCAGATGTACCTTGGGAAGGTTCCCCATGATGTCCCACGTGAGCTCAAGGCCTGCATATGTTACTAGTTTTTTTTTAATTCTTCCTGCTCTGTGGTTTAAAGATACAGAAAATGTCAAAGTCCTTCAGATGCCTCTATAAGTAACAGGGATATGAAAAAGAAGCAGCATTTGTAAGTGTCTCTAGCATAGAAAATCAAGCTGTTGGTGAAGTTGAAGCGTGATATACGAGTAAAACATCTTCCAAAACAGCATGGTGTTGAACTGACAATCATATATGACCTGAAGAAAGGGAAGGATTAATTGTTGAAGCTTTGTGCTGAAAGTTATATACAGGCATTAATGAAAAATAGGAAAACACTGTGTACAGCTAAAAATGAGTTCAGTTGTGTTGAAAGTGGATCTGTCAGCATCACAGTGAACACATGCTGCTTAATGATATGCTGGTCATGAAACAAGCAAAAATCTCATGGGTAACTGAAAGCGGAAGGAAATTCTGAATATTCAGCAGGCTGGTTGCATACATTTAAGAAACAACATGGCATACTTTTAAGCATTTGTAGTAATTAAAGCAATTGCTGATCAAGGAGTATCAGAGAAATTTATTGATGAGTTTGCCAAGGTCATCACTAATAGAAATCTCACACCAGAATAAGCCTGAAGTGCTAGTGAAATATCACTGTTGGGCTTTATTGCCCCAGAAAGCCACTGTTCACAGCTGATGAGACAGCCCAATGGGAATTGAAGGATGCTAAGGATAGAGTAAATGTGGTTGGATGTGTGCAACGTGCAGGTACCTGGAAATATAAACTTGCTCTTGCTGGCAAAAGCTTGTGTTCACCTGTTTTATATAAATGAATTTCTTACTGATACATTGTTATGCTAACGAAAGGCATGAGTCACCAGGGATGTCCTTTCCAATTGGTTTCATAAACACTGTCCAGCAGCTCATGCTCACGATGGGGAAACTGGAAGGATGATTGTATGATTTTATTATTCTTCAGAAGCTATTCTGCTTGTTCTCCAGCTGAAGTTCTTTTAAAAACAATGTGTATACCTTGTACTTTTACTCAGATGTGGCCAGTCATGTGACTGTAGGTCAGCGTCACGGTGAGCAACCATGGTGGCATACAGAGTGAAAGATTACTTCGAGATGAGGCTTAGTTTAATCACCGAGAAGCCCAGAAGGTCTGCTCAATGGAGAGAATCCAGAGTAAGGGAAAGTCCCAGGAGTGGCACCGAAGCTAAGAACTGTCAGGCTTTTATTTGGAGTAACAGTGTGAGAGAAGAAAAAGAAGAAAAGCAGTTTGGGGAAAGAATTGTCTCAAAGCTAGGCAGTTTTCGTGGAGAAAGGGGAAGGACAATGCCAGATACAATATGCTTTGCTAATCTAAACTTCGTGTTGTTTAACCGTTCATTTCTCACAGAGCCTTTGCCTTTGCCCTGCAGTTTAACCCGTCAATAATGAATGAATGAATGAATGAATAGCATTTTTTTTTTTTTTTTTTTGGTTTTTTGGTTTTTCTCTGGTACCGGGAACCGAACTCACGACCTTGTGCTTGCCAGGCAGGCGCTTTGCCGCTGAGCTAAATCCCCAGCCCTGAATAGCATTTTCTTGAACAGCGTGATAGAACATTAATAGTTGTGGATATGAAAAGTTTGCAAAGATCTTTGTGTATATGTGTGTGTAAAGAAAATAGTGATAAAATTTATTGGAAAAAGTACAAGAGAAGAGCTGGGGAGAAACTAGTTTTGTAGAGCAAGCTTGGGCTGAGTAAAGAGAAAAAGAGAGTAAAACCAAAAATACAAGCAATGCTGCATCTGGGAAACACAGCATGGCCTGCTGCGGAAAGGTAGGACAGCCTGACTGGTTCTTTTTATGCTATTGTGAATGTTTGAAACACAGTAGCTAAGGACAGAATTGTGCCTGCCTGGTACAACCTGTGTCTTGAGACTAGATTTAGTGATGGGAGTGAACAGTGGTGACTTTAAAGGACTCCACATGGCAAGTGAGAAATGATTTCTTAGTTCCCTCCCCACATTGGGGATTGAACCCAGGGCCTTCTCACTGAGCTATATCCCAAGCCCATTATGTATGTATGTATGTATGTAGGTATATATGTAACAGAGTCTGTGTCTCTAAGGTATGCAAAGCTGGGCTCCAACTTTTGATCCTCCTGCCTCAGTCTCCCAGAGCTCTAGGATTATAAGCATGCCTAACCATGCCCAGCACTTAACCTTCATATATTTGCCAAAAAATATATCTTCCAGTAAGCTGAAAGAAATAGATATCAAAGTTTTTTACATCAGTAATGAGAATCTAGTTCATTTATTGATCGATGAAGAAATAACCAAATTATTTTTGAATCGGGGCAATCCTGAAAATATTGATGATGAAGTTCATATTACTAACATTGCATAAAAGATTCCTATAAATGACATCATGTAAACATACAGTGTGTTTACTGGCCCAGAGTAGTATGTGCAACAAACAAGAAATTTTGTCAGTTTATAAAATCAAAGAGAATGCTAAGACAAAACTGTTCATGAAGTAGATGACAGTAGGAAATATTAACAAGCCATCAAAGCAGAATGCCTCCTCATCCCTAGACAGCTAACTTCCTGATCACTGGTGCTTCTGATGCTTATTAAAAAAAAAAGGTCAGTAACCTCTTAATCAAAACACAGCACCACAGGTGGAGAGTGAAAGCCTGCTGTTGTTTGCTGTTGCTGTTTAGCTACTGGGTGGGCATTCTGAACACCAGGGTTTTTTTCATTGTGTTAATAGCATGTCATATTTTTTCCTTTTAAGTACTTACATGTGAATAAGTACGAGAAATTGTTTACTGGTAGCATATAAACTAAGACATATACAGGAGGGTGATGCCAACAACCACAGACATCTCCATGGGTGGCTGAAATACTTCAGGCATTGTAAGCTTGAAGGTATATATGAAACATAACTGAATTTATGTGTATACTTTTGTCTCATTCCCAGTATTTCTCATTATGTATATGTAAATACTTCCCCTCAAATCTGAAAATATTGGAAATCCAAAACATTTCTTATCCTGAGCATTTCACATGTGAGATATTCAACATTGCATTGTTACTTGTCTCTGGGTATATAGCCATCTAGTTTAGGAGCAGTGATTTCATTCCTTCATTAAACAGTGCTTTAGAGCCTATTTTGTCAGACAAGAGTCCTCGCACTCAAGCTGTGCGTGTAGCTAGCTAGCATGGATCTGGAAAGGAATGGGACAGGAAAGAAGACCAACAATTTCATCTTAGCATTCATTAATCGTATTAATGTGATTAATGCATAACTAGTTCTTTGGAAACACAGAAGAAGGGAAGAAGTCATGGTGTTGATTAATTTAGTAGCAGAAAAAATTTCCAAGTGAGAATTTAAACTAACCATATTGCATCTTCTGTTTGCTAATAAAACTAAAGAATTTATAGATTAAAATCTTAGGTATTTTCTGTTACTAAACCAAACGGAATTCCCATGTTGTAATTGTAAACTATAATTGGCAAAACAAAATGAGCAACTAAATAAATTGTTACTGCTTTTAAGCTGTGTCATTAGAGTTGACTTTTTGTAATCATTCATTGTTATAATTTTAACAATATCAAATGCTGCCATTTCTGAAGATAGAAAAGTTACTTCCAAATGAATTAAGAACTTGGATTATTTTGTTAAAAATACTTCAGTCAAGTTATACATTGAATTTATCTCATTAGGGATGACATTATACTTTAAAGTGATTAAACTTTGAATTTTATTTAGCATCGTTCCTACTTTTATTTTCAGCCAGAGAGATCTGAATGGCTATGGCAATAATTTAAGAGCTCTAATCTGTTCTCTTTGGTGAATAGTATATGTTTTAATGTGTGCTCTTTCTTAGTATTTATTTTTAGAATTCAGGGTTAATTATTAATTTGGACGTTTTTATGTTTTTTTAAATTTTAATTTCTAAATCAGAAAATTCTTCAGAGAAGAAAGATTTTTATGTTGTCTTGTTTTTTCCCTTGTTCAGAAATCGAAACGAGTTGGCTGAGACGCTTGCACTCCTGAAAGCACAAATTGATCCTGTACTATTGAAAAACTCTAGCCAGCAGGACAACTCTTCTCGGGAAAGTCCCAACTTAGAGGATGAGGAGACTAAAAAAGAGGAAGAAACACCTAAACAAGGTTTTTTTTTGTGTGTTTTATTTTGCTTTGTTTTGAATCGCTGCTTCTTTTATTATTTTAACCAGCTGTATAATTTTGAATTTTGATTGAAAAGTTGAGAGTTTTCCATAGTCTCTTTATTCAAAGACAAAGAGCAAAAGACTGCATTTCCTCTTTTACATAAAAACATTTAAAAAATCTAAGTCAACTGTGTTCAGATTGGCTGGGTGTAGTGGCACACACCTGTAATCCCACCACTTGAGGGAGGCTGAGGCAGGAGGATTGCTATGAGTTCAAGGCCAATCTGGGCTACAAAATGAGTTCAAGGCCAGCCTGAACTGCATAGTGAAACCCTCTCTCAAAAAGATAATTAAAAAAAAAATTATGTGTGTGTGTGTGTTCAGTTTATCATGTTTTACTAATTTAAGAGTTCTGTGCTAGTGTAATTTTTTGTTGAGAAGTACACAAAACATAATTGACCATTTTAATGATTTTTACATATACAGTTAAATACATCCACAGTGATTATCACCATTACTACCATTTATGTCCAGAACAGTATTTTTCTTCCTCAAATGAAACTCTATCTCTGTTAATCACTAACTCCCTATTTTCCCCTCCTCCTAACCCCTGGCACCTAGTTTCTGTCTTTCCCCAGACCCCCCCTTGTTCCAATGAGTGAGCTGGGATGAGGCAGGATGTTTGAGCCAATGCTCCACGCTGTGGCTGTGATCGGGCATAGAGGCTATGACTTCCTGGGGCTTCAAAGATTATACATCGGAGCAGAAGCACCAACCCCACCTTAGATACTATCTCAATTGAGTTGTGCGGATTACTCTTTCTGCATCTGGCAGAGGTGATTTCAGGCCTCCTACCTAGTCCAGCACATGGCACTCACGTATTTCCTGCCATTCTCACAGTCACTCATCCTCAAGTCACTCCCTTCTTCACAAATGAGTAAAATCTGGGTTGGGTCCTGGCTATAGGCCTTTGTTCCTGATGGCCATCATCATGGCCAGACTAGGACCCCTTGGCTCTCTGTAACTACAGAGATGCTTGAGTGCCTTTATTCTTGCCATGGGTTGCACTGGAAGTTGTAGATTGGAATTAACTCTCTAGAATTCCAATACCTTTTCATGGGATTACAAATATAAGCTTCCTGGCTGTGAGGAGGATTGGGAAGGGCTCTCTATAAGTCCCTGACTTAAAGTTCATATTATTGGTTATTCAGGTTGGTTATTGCTTATTCTTATACACAATTAAAATAAAGAATATTTATTGGAAACAAGAGTCAGGATAATGGAAATTTAAGAAGCAGTTATTCCTCTTAGGAGACCTTATTTTTGATGCTAATCTTAATGAGAGACTCACGTAAAGTAGAAAGAAGAGCAAAAAAAAATTTCTTCATTAAGTTGTTCTTGATATTTAATTCCACAATTACTCTGTAAGGTGTTAATAGTAGAGCAGAGGGGATTTCAACAATAAAAGCAGCTAACACTAGATACATCCTATTTTCTTTATAGTCTACTAAATGCTACATTTGGATTTTCTTTTTTTTTTGGGGTTTTTCTCCGGTACCGGGAACCAAACTCACGACCTTGCGCTTGCCAGGCAGGCGCTTTGCCGCTGAGCTAAATCTCCAGCCCTACATTTGGATTTTCATTTCAGTTTTAAAGCTGAGGAAGTTGAGAGAGACATACATTTGCCCAGTTCATAAATATTATATTGTCAGACCTTACATTTGAATCTTGACCCTTTTAAAGCTTATGTTCTTTAAATAGAAAGAGCTACAGTAATACTTCTCAAACTTCAATGTGCATGTTGTTCACCTGGAAATGTGTTTATATTTGTTTGGTTTTTTGAGACAGGGTTTTGCTGTGTTGTCAAAGCTGGCTTTGAACTTGCTGCCCTTAAACTGGAGATTCTCCAGTCTCAGCATCCTGAGTGCTAGGATTACAGGAATATAACACCACGCCTGGCCTGACCTGTGCATCTGTTTTCAAATACATAAGGCTAATGGACTAGGTCTTGAGTAGGCTGCTGATTGTCTATTTTAACAGGGACCTATGTGGTGCTTATGTTGTTAGACAGAGGGTAGCACTTTGAAGAGACAGTGAAGGAGGTACAGGACATTTAGGCTTCATTTTTGTTCTCTGTTCTCTTCCAAATAGTGTTTTCCCCAGGCCGGTGGTGCAGTGTGTAAGTCAGGGTATAACACCTGTTTAGCATGCAAGGAGTTCTGAATTTGATCCCCAGCACCAGAAAAATAAGATAAATAAATAGTACCTTTCTGTTTCTCTTCTTCTAACAATACAGTGTTTCTTATTCATTTGTTCAACAAATGTTTAGCTGGTGGTACATGCCTATAGTCCCAGATCCCTCATATGCTATGCAAGCATTATGCTGCTCATCTATACCCTCAGTCCTTTTTATTTTTTAGAAACAAAGTCTCGGTAAGTTGCCTGGGCTGGGCTTGAACTTGTGATTCTCCTGCCCCAGCCTCTTCAGTTACTGCGATTATAGGTGTGCACCTTCACGCTCAGCTCGCCGTCTACTTTTGATAGTTGTACTTACATGAATTTTGCAGAAATGCTTTCGTTCTGAGCCCAAAGCATTGTTTCTTACCCCATCCTCACAAGTGTAGTTACTGTGGTGTGTTCCATGGTAAGAGGAGAGAAATGGGTTTCTGGTTTGTCATTTATTACCCTCTCATATGAACAAACATTGTTCCCCAGATGGAGTTGGGGGGAGTGGTAGGTGGTGGGAAGAATAGGTTAAAAGCTGGGAACAATGTTAAGGAATATCTAATGTGGTTAGAGTGGTGAGGTAGCATGTGACAATTTTAAAATTAAGTGTGGTTGAATATTTTTAAAAGAAAAAAATAGAAAGTGGAGAGAATAATATAGCTACTCTTACAACTAAAATAGACTCTACATAGTCATGAGTAAAATTGCCAGGCTTTGTATTAATCTTAATAAGATGAATTTTTACAATTTCTTTCTGTTTAGGTGCCAAGATGAAATGTATCAGCCAGTAAACTTGGGCAAAAAATTTTAAAAAATGATGGCAGCAAGTGGCCTAAGAAAATGTACCAACTGAGTAATTATGTTGGCTTTTGTTTCAAAGATAATTTGAATTGCCTTTTGAAAATTTCTGGTTTTCTTAGACTGGTGTTTGGAATCTCACAACAGAGCCATCTCTTTCTGCTGTTATCTCGTAGTGCTTCCTTGCATGATTACTGGTTCCAGGTTATCTAGATTTTTTTTTTTTTTTACTTTATATGTATGTGTTGACCATTTCTCTGTGACTTCATCATGCTTATCCCTACTCTCCACATGGGAAGTCCTTTTGATCCCTTTTTTCAGCTCTTTTTAGAACTTCATTTACACTACTTTGTCTCACTTTTATTAGGGCTAATAATACCACCACCAGGCGTAAAACTATGAAATACTTGAAGTGTTACTCTCCCGCTTTGGTAGATGGGGAAGTGAAGGTTAGATGCTGTTTAAACTCTTGGATAAGGCTGTTGAAGAGTCTGTGCCATTTCAGATGTTATTGTGGTTATAGACACCATGATATTTAGTATATATTTTTAATCTATGGTAGATTCTCTAGTCTACTTTAGAAGGTGTCAGAAATATATAAAGGAGCATTCTTGGGGAAAATCAAAGTTGAAGGAAGCTCAGCTAACCTTTAATTTGGGATTCTCCCCTACTAGTTAGGAAAAACTGTTTTTAAAAAGTCTTGCAGTCATATACTTACGGCTGTATAAGAGGACGAAGAAGTATCATTTGAGACTCTAGTAGACCTCATCAGGCCCCCAAATATGTTTATTTTGGTCTCTATAGTACTGCTTTAAAAATTTTTTTAAAAAATTTTTTTTCCTTATTTTGTTGTTTTGAGACACAGTCTTGCTATATAGTTCAGTCTGGCCTTGAACTCACTGTGTGGCCCAAGTTGGTCTTGAACTCATGACAGTCCTCCTGCCTCAGCACCCCAGTGCTGGAATTACAGGTGTGTGCCACCACACCTGGCAATACTGCTTTGTTTTTAAAGAGGTTTAAGATAAAATTTACCTTTTTAAAGTGTTCAATTTGGTGGCCTTTAGTTTATTCATGGTGTTGTACTTTTATGTCCTCAACCTAGCTGCAGAACATTTCTGTCAACCCACTAAGACATTCTACCCATTTAGTAGTCACTCACCGTTTCTCCCTCCTCCCAAGTCCTTGGAACCATTAATCTGCTTTTCTGTCTGTATGAATCAGCCTCTTAGGAATATTACATTAAATGGAATAATACTGTACAGTGGTACCTCATTTCACAAACTTACTTTGTTATACAGTTTTGGAAAAGATAACCATGGTTGTGTTTGTCAAATACTTGTGTTTTCTGCTTGGGGACCAAATTGTTTGGAAACAAAAGTGTTTGTGAACCGATGTACCACTGTATGTGGCTCCTTGTTTCTGACTTCTTTCACTTAATATTTTCAATTTTCATTCATGTTATAGCATGTATTAGTATGCCTTTCCTTTAATGGGTGTATAGTATTTCTTTGTATATATGAACATTTTGTTTATCCATTTATCACTTGGATGGACACTTGGGTTTTTTGCATTTTGGGGGGCTGCATGAATAATGCAGTTGTGAACATTCATATTCAGATTTTTATGGGAATACATCTTCCTTCCACTCTCTTTCCCTTCTTTCCTTCCTTTTAGTGTGGTTGGGATCCAGCAGAGAGCCTTACACATGCTAAACACACTCAAATGTGTGATTTTCTTTTTTTAATTTGAAATTGCCATCAGCATCTTAAGTTTAAAATTAGAAGAGTTGGTAACTAGGAACTCTAATAAACTGTAGCCAAGTAATGATTGCTTATGCTTAAGTGGGATTTTTTAAGTGCTGTGATGTGCAGCTATATGTTCTTAAGTGGAAAATATCACATGTGCTATCATACTCCTTTATGTTTAGCACAGCGAAGTACAGTATTTGCATGAAAGTAGAATGAGCATTTGCATGTA